ATATTGTTCTTTCTTTGCTCCTAAATAGAATACTTACAAACATCTGGGGTTTGAAAGTCTTCTATGGGAGCTGTGGCTTTGGTTTACATTAGTTTTCTAATGATCATTAGTGCTTATTTTTTCCACTGAAATTTGTATTGTTTTAATGTTATTTTTCCCACGTTTTTCGTATCTTTTTCTCACAAGGCAAATCTTTCTTTTTAAAAACTGCAGGTGTCTGCCCAGCCATTCTACCAGTGTCTTTCCCTGGAAAGCCTGAATTTTTATTTTTTAAAGTAAATTTTTTTAAAAGTTCACCTTAATTGAGCTGATGCCCATGTTGACCCTTCCAGATTCACCGTCTCTTAGACTCATTTGAAAACAGAAATCAGATAGAGCCTCACTGGCTTTAATTCACCTATCTAAGGAAAAAAACCAAGGAGCCCTCTCGGCTAAAGTCAAACGATAGAAACTCGGTGTTCTGAGAATTGCTATACCTTAAATGAAAATACAAGGCACAATTTTATGATACTGGTCAAGAATCAAGAAGACAATCATAACACTTGCCATTTCTCTTTCTCCCAACTACACACCAAATCCAGGGGCTTCATGCATATTTTAGTCAGCTACCATTGAAATGAGAGGTTGTGTATCTGGTGATGAGTCTATTTTCAAATGATATACTCTCCAGAGTTCAACACACAGAAGGTTCCATTACTCTGTCCCCACCCTCCCTCTGGATGTAGTGTGGAAGTATAAGGGGCTGAAGTCCCTGCAGCTGTGGCTCCTGGGTTGGGAGCACTCGATTTTCCTCTATGCAGTGGGGGAAGATATCAATGCAGAGTGGTTACCCAGGCACAGATCTGTTCTGACTGGTTAACAAGAGGGATTGTGATATGGGCTTGGCTGTTTAGATTAAAATGCATTGCAGGCTCCCAGAACAAGCACACATCAGTAGTAAAGGCTGTTTAAACCTTTGGGGACAGCCCTATGTTTAGATTACATTAATTCATAAATATTATACTAAATACCACTTAAATTGGACTTAAATGACTTCAAAGATAATGCATTATAATATGGCTATCCAGAGAGCACTAGTCTTTATATCTCCCAGTAACTCAGTCTTTGCTGCCTCCTATCCTGCTAGATAAGACCAAAGTTATGAATGGATTGCTGGCTTGTTCATGTGTGATCCACCGACTGGGTGTGTGTGTGTGTGTGCATGTGTGTGTGTGTGTGTTAACAGGCGTGGGTATGCGTATGTATGCATTTTCAGACACTGCTTCTGTTTGTTCTCCAGGACATAAAAAGAAGAAAAGAGAAATAAATGTAAAGGGAGAGAAGGAAAGAATTCGACTAGTGGGTGACCTCTTCCTTTCCCCAAGGGAGAAAAATTCTATAGGAAGGGGCAAAACTGGTCCTCAGCTCACTTCTGCTGCTACCCAGGGAGTTTGCCTCTCTCCTCTTTAATCAATAGTACAATGTCTTTCTCTTTGGAGCCTGGAAAAAAACAATCTTTCTCAAAGTGCTTCTAATAGGGGGAGAAAAGAAGACTCCAGAGTTAGCCGGGAGAGTCTGCATTAAACTGGGTTTTCTTCGTTGGGTGTTATTTCTTTGAATTGTAATTCTGGGCTTTTTTTCTTCCTTTCTCTCTCTGCCTAACACCCAGATCTCCCCCACCCCCACCCAAGTGCTTTCTGGTCTCCAGGGGGTGAATTTACCTTTACAGTAATTACCCCAGTCCACAACTGCTATTTGCTGCCTCCCCAGCCCAACAGCCTTTCTCTGCTACGGCTGGGTTTGCTCCACAACACCCACCCACTCCCTCCTCCACAGACTCCCAATTTGACTGGAGTAATTGCCTTTTAAGGTTCACTCTACGCATGGCAGGTATTCCATTAACCCTTAGAACTCCTTCCTCCTTTAGTTACCTGAAATGGCAGGTGGCCAACAAATGGATAGCCACCTGAAATCTCATGCATTTAATTTAATTTTTACTTATTTTTTCTTCTTTCCTCTTCTTCTCTTTCTATGTTTTTCTTTCTTTCTTTTTTCTTTTCTTTCTTTCTTTCTTTTTTTTTCTTTTGCCAATAACATGCAGATGCCATTCACACTGGAGGCCAGTATCCTGTCATGTCTCTCAATTTTATTCCAGTAAGATTCATTAGAAGTTATAAATTCAAGAAAGGGAAAGAAAGAGCCACAAACATGCCCTGAAACAAGGCTCAACAAAGGCATGTTTCTACCCCTAGCTTCATGTTGTCAATTTAGAGTTGGGGAAAATCTAAAAGCCAAATGCAAACCTCATTCTTCAAGCCTCATCATGCTTTTTGACTTAACAGTAATTAATCACCAATGGCAAGCGAGTAATTTTTTTAAGGTGGCCAGAGGCTTATTTTATCAGGATTAGCTAATAAATCAAGCTGTATCTCTGAAAGAGGAGTTCAAACTCTTCTAGTACTGAATAAACCAGACCTTAGAGACTGTCTCATTTATTCAGCTCTCCTGGAGCTTCCAGGCACCGTTAGAGACATTGTGGCCCAACCTTGCCTATAAAAATCCGAGGGTTATAGAGGCAGGAAGTTTCATAGGAAAAAATATATATGCTCAGGCTCTGAAGGGTGAGCTGCGACAACGAAACACCCAGCATGCTGGAGCCAACGGGCCTGCCTGCCACTGACTGAGCCAGTTTAGGGGAAGAATTATTTAGAAAATGAAGTTTTGCTTGTTCTAGGAATCCTGGCCAGATATGTGTATGTATATGTATGAAACATATGAAATAACTGTAACATATCCTTCTCTAGCATCCTGATGCAAATCATGATAATTCTACTTCTTTGCTATAATGCAAGGGAGTCCAAAGAGCAACAAAAACAGTGATGATACCAGCAAGGGATTGTGAAAGAAACAAGGAATACTGTTAAAGTTTATCTTCATTTGAAATAAAGAAGTGAATAAAGTGCTCCAAACCTGGATCTCTTAAGAAGCTCAGTGCTTCACAACTGTCTTTTGCCTCTGGTGGGTTCTGATTTTTTTTTTTAAACTTTAAAATCTTAAATCACCACAAGAACTGATGATTAAGATGGGCAAAGGATTTCCTTATTTATGCTCTTTAAATTTTCACTATTACTATTTTTAAATCTAGGGACATATTAGATGACAAAGCTTTGATACAAACCTTGATTAGCTTCTAGGGAGCTTGATTGGACAGGGAAAAACTACAAAGATATGGTTGACTTGAGAGGGAGGGCGAAAAATGGAAACAAATGTTATTTCAAAGACTGCCTCCCCATTTCACCTTTCCAGTCTCTCTTCTGATCAGACATTTTCTCCATATTGGAGAAAGGTTGGTTTGTCTCTCCATTACACCCCCACCTTCACCCCACCCCAACAAACCCAGTATATTTCCATTCTGCTGTGTTTCTGTGCTACTCAACATGCCATTAACTTTAAGATTTACTCCTCAGCAGGCAAGCTGGAAGATGCTAAAGCCAATAAAAACTGCTCTCTGGGACTCCAACTATGAAGAGTTTGGAGCTCTGCTTAGTATTCGGATGAAGGGAGGGCTGGAGGAGGGAGGGAGGTTGTGATAGTGAAAACCACTGCTGCTTAGAGAGCCAGACAGCTCTGCGCTCTGCACCTAATGTGCTGGAGGTTCAGCCCTGTTCATAGCCCATTTGTGGCCAAGGATGAGGCTGCTCTCTCTGTGTGGGTGGGTGTGCGTGTGCGTGTGTGTGTTTTCATCTTTAAAACCACCAGCTCTAACACAGCATCTTCAGTGGCTCTCCACACTACTGTTTATTAAAAATGGAACGTCCATACACATCCCTTACAACTTCCTTAGCCCGGTGCTCCTTCCCTGCCTGACGATCAATCTCTCTCAGAAAGCATTTAACTTGCCCACACAGCTCCAGCCTGGATTAATCCCCACTGCACATCCTATACATTACTGTTAGGGAGCGGAGCACTGGGCTAATTTCGTCACCCACCAGCCACCCACACACGTTCTACAACTGAACACGTTTGGGGATCTGCCTTAAAGATAATAAAACAAGGAGAAAACAGGCAGGCTGCAGACAATTCTCATGACCACTTTCCTAAAAAGTTGCTGGGTTTTAATTCTTTGATTATTCTGTGTCCCCCTCCCCCAAGCACTCACTAGCAATGATTGCTTCAAGGGAGAGCAATAATGTACTATAAACCTCTCTGCATGGTGAGTTTGGGATAATTTAGGCTACACCCTTCAAAAGGCATATCTTGCACACACAGATTTTTTTCCCCAAAAGCTCCGCTTTCCTGGGAACGGGATAATCATTCAGGCTTCCCCGACCCCCCAATCCACCCAGGGGATGGCTGGTTCCTTGCTAAATCTTGCCTTAGGTTTTGTCCCTCCTTCCTTCAAACATCAAACACCCCCTCCCCCACCACTCACACCACAACCGGATTATTGAGGCACATAGCTCGACAGGGAGAGTTTACTGTTAAATTGATAGCAAAATAAAAATATCTCTCTGAATTTGTCACCTTTCTTCTTTTTAGACGGCTGCGCTCCTGCTACTCTGGCCCCGAACGGAGAAGGAGGAGATTATCTCCTCTTAATATTTTCAGCACCACGGCGATGGACAGCACCCTCGGTCCCTGGCCCGCTGAGCGCCCGCCAGTCTGCTCAGCGTCCCGGGCTTGGCCGGTGCAGCGGTCCCCGTCCCAATCTTTCAAGTCGCTGCGCCCAAAAATCCAAGCCCCGTTTCCCCTCGATCCTCTCTCTCTTTCTCTCCATATTCTGCTTCCGCTGCTCTCCCCACCGCACCGCTTCTATCAGCTCCTCGCCCAAAACCCAGCTTTGCCCCAGCGAACAGCTCCCCACGCACCCCAGTCCTGGTCTCTGCTGCCCGAGCGCCTCCCTCCTCGGCGTCCGCCCGAGGCTCCCTCTCGCGCCGTCTCCCGCTCGTCCGTCGCCGGCCGGCTGGCCGGCCCGCCCGCTCCTTCTCCCCGGCAAAGTTGGGAGGGAAAGGTGCACTCACCTTTGTGCATGCCTGTGAACCTGTCCTTCAGAACCGTAAGCTCGTAGATCTTGCCGAACTCCTCGAAGAGGGGCTTGAGGTCCTTCTCATCCAGGTTGCGGGGGATCTGCCCAATGAACAGCTTGATGGCATCGTGGTCCTTCATGGGAATGGTCGACGGGTTCCCCGGGCTGTGGCTTAATCCGTTCATGTGCCCGGCGCTGCCCGGGCTGCTGCCGAGCCCGTTGGTACTGAGGCTCGCGTTGTCAGCCTGTCCGTTTGCTAACGTGGCCATCTTTATATACATAGAGAAAATCTTCTTTCCTTTTATTCTTTCTCGCTCGCACTCTCTCGCTCTTCTCCCTCGCAAGCTCGCTCGCGCTCACACACGCACACGCATACACACACTCGGGTTCTCTCCCCCTCGGTTTCTCTACACCTCGCTCTCCTCTCGCTCTCTGCTCTCTCTCTTTCTCCTCTCTTCTCTCGCTCGCTCGCGCTCGCGCTCTCTCTCTCCTCTCCCCGCTCTCTCTCTCCCTCCCTCTCTCCTCTCTCTCTCCCTCTCTCTTTCTCTCTCTCTCTTTTTCGGCCTGATCTGATTTTTTTTCTTTTTTCCCCCCTTTCCTTTTTTTCTTTTTTTTCCTTTTCTCTCTTCTCTTTTTTCCCCTTTTTTCTTTCTTTTTTCTTTTCTTTTCTTTCTTTCTTTCTTTCTTTCTTCCTTCTTTTTTTTTTTTTTTTTTTTTTAAATATTGAAGAGACAGGATCTCTGTCCTTTCCGTTTAAACAGGCTGGACCGGTTCAAGTTCCCAGTCAGACCAGGGGTGGGGGAGGCGAGTGAGCGCGCGCGGAGGAGGGGGGCACCGGGCCCGGAGAGGGCGAGACGGAGGGGGGGGCTCCCGCGCGGCGGCGGGCGGCAGCCGGGAGCAGGATGGCGTGGGGCGGCGCCGGCCCCGCCGCGCCTCCCCCGTCGGCGGCCCCGGCGAGCGGTGGTGGTACAGTCCGAGACAGCCCCCGGCTATAAATAGCGCCAGGCGCATGGCTCTTCGGGAGGCGCTGAGATTCCGGGCCCGGCGGCCGCGGAGAGCGGGTGCCCGTTAGGAACGGGGCTGCTGGCCTCTTCTTTGCCTTTTGGGGGTTCTTTTTGTAATAGCAGCAGGTGCAACTTTTTGTATTTTTTAAAAACATTGATTTTCATTTTCGTGTGGGTATGTCGGGGTGGGGGGAGCGTTATTCACCGAGCTGCGCTCTATTAGGGCGCCAGGCGGGCGAAGCAAAGGCAGGGATGGCGGGCGGGGCGGCGGCGAAGGCGGCGGCGGAGGTGGAATGGGCGCTTTTTTCTCCCATCTGGTTCCCTTTATTTATTTATTTAGACTAGGAAAAAGCGAGTCGGCTTGGAGGGAGTCCGCCCAGCGATCCGAGTGCGCATTGATCAGTGTCGAGAGAAAAAAAGCTACATAAATATATATTATGTGGATAAATCTATGGACTAGAGCTCTCTCGCGCGCGCTCTTTCTCTCCGTGTCTCTCTGCTTTTTTCCTCCTGGAGTCCCCAACCTGCCAGAGCAGTCCCAAATCTTCGCCTTCCCGCACGGCATCTACCGCCACCCGAGCCACCTGGGAGGTCCGGGCTGGGGAGCAGTTGGGCCTCGGTGGGGGGACTGGGCGTAGAGATTTGGGGCCCGACCCTCGTCCCAGCCCGCCTGGAAGGCTGGAGGTGGGTGTTTCCGTCCCGGACGGCCTCCCCCGGCCCCCGAAGCGCGGCAGCTGGTCCGGCAGGCGGCTGGCGGGAGGAAGGTAGGAGCCGGGCGCCTCGGCCCGCTCGCCCGCGGTGGAAGGAGACAGGCTCTGGGTGCCGTGCCGGGTCGGTGAGCCAGAGCGAGGGACAGGCTTAATTTTGCCCTCGTCTGCTTTACTGGTTCAAATTGAAATTTTTTTCTTAATCCACTATCAAAGAAATAACCCCCCCGAATCGCTATCCGGGCTGCGACCGGACCCAGACTCGCGCGGCGTGCGCTGCCCCCGCGGGTTTCGTGGGCAGCGCCTCCCTCTCCAGAAGTGCGAGGCTGGGAGTCGCGTCTGCGGGCTGGAGCCGAGGGTCCGGTCGCCCAGCCCGACTTTGCTGGGTTCCCCACCGGGCCCGCAGGGGCCAAAACCTCGGCTGCGCGGGAGAGGGAGTGGCCGGCGCGGGAGCCGGGTCCAAGCAGCCCCGCCTCTGGGGGCGAATGCTGGTGGTGAACTTGGGTTGGGAGAGCAGATTTTCATTTTAATGATATTTACCTGCCCCTCATCCTCTCCCACATTTGCTTTTCCAGGGCAGCCTCTTCTCCACGGCTTCAGAAGCCGGGCAAATTAAAATAACGCGCCCGCTCCCCCGCGAGTTGCGAGGGCAGAGCTGCTGACCTGACCCTGTCCGGACCCCCTCCGGCCCCCTTCGGGTGTTCTGGGTCTCTTTTTTCTTGCCCTCGGATTACATGACGTTATTAGACAGTACGTTTAAAATTTTATTTAAAGAAATGAGACCCCATCCGCCTGAAAACCGAGACCAAGTCCGTTTGGTACAACCACAACGCGGAGCTCTCCAGCGCCAGGAGGAGGCCCGAGGAGGGCCCGAGGTTCGCAGCCCCAGGCCCCGAGCCCACCTGGGACACCTCTCCCTGAGGATCCAGGGCGAGTGACCAAACAGCAAGTACAATTCTGAGAACTGTGGAACTTCATCCTTTCATTTTAAGATTCTCCTGTCTTTTCTTGTTGGAATCCTGTGTAAGTATAGTTGATTCATAACTCGGTTCTGGGCTTACATTATCCAGTGTTATATGATGGCCTAAGAATCGCACACGTTGATGGAATCGAACAGAAACTCACACATAGAGCCTCTCAGCAGTGTAGCAGTGCGCTGGGTGTGCCTGTGAAGTGCTGGACTAGGGAAGCAGGCATGGCCCTGGTAGGCACACGGAGGGCTTGAGCTGGGGGTTTGGAGGTGTGTGTCTATGTCTCCTCAGGACTGTGGGTCCTTGTGTGATGTGGCGAGGATGTGTACCGAGACCCTGTTTGTATCCACACTCTGCCTGTGTGTGTGTGTGTGTGTGTGTGTGTGTGTACGTACCAGGCTGAGACCTCCTCCTCCCCTTTCCCTCAGGGCACATCAGCAGACACCAATATCTTTGTCCAAAATATCTCCTCTAACATCATCTTGTGGTGTTGGCGCTTACCTCCTAGGTCCTCACAATGGAGTGGGATCTATTTTCTGCCCTAATAGGAGTGGAGAAGACTAATTCCTACTTGATGTCTCTCTCCCCCTTCCCCCCAAGTCCTTAAAGCCCCAGCTAGGTCTGGGGAAAGAGGAGGGAGTGAGCTGGGGTCCAGGGCTGGGAAAGGGAGAGCCTGCACAGGGGAGGGCAGCTGTAGTTTATCTTCCACTTCTTCCTGCCCCCACCCCAGCCCCGCCCCGATCCCAGTAAATTATTCACAGGTGTTTCATTATTCATATTATTATTAATAATAATAGCCAATACATAAATAAAAGCAGTCCCTGGGCAGGAGTGAGTGGGAGAGTGGAGTTGTTAATAGAAGGGGGCATCTGGTTATTCCAGATGCCTGGGCTTGGCTCCCTCCAGGACAGCACCTCTGCCCCTGGGCAGGACACCGCAGCCCTCTCCCAGTGTCTCTCCACATGTGGCCCCAAAGCTGTGGAGAGCTCCTTCTTCCCTAGGGAGGGTACCTCACCCTCCCCTCTCTCCCACCTGAGGATGGCTTATTTTGGATTTGGACTGTCTCTCCTGAGGGGGGATAATATGGGCCTCAAGGCTCGGCTTTCTGACCCCTATGTGCTGAAATGCCCCACCAGTCCCCACATTGCTGGGGCCAGGCAACCAGGACACCAGGCCCCATATAACTGAGCTACCCTGTGTAAACAGCGGCAGAAGCAGCTTGGCCAAGGCATTGATCTCTTAAAGGCGCAGAGCTTGAATCTCTTAGGCTCCTACTGCTTTGGCACAGCAGAGTATTGGGGATAAAACAGCACAGACAGGTGTCTCCAACTAATGTAATAAAGGAACAGGACCCTAGAGATAACAGTAAGGAACATGGTTAGGTTTCCTCATTAGTATCCTTGCTCTGATATTCTAGAAAGACTTAAGCTATTTTTTTTTTTAACCTTAGATCGTCAAAGAGAAATGTAACTAGGGAAAGATGGGGGCAAAGTATTACTCACTGTGACATTTAAACAGATTTCAAACTTTTTCTTCAAGTGCCACTTCATGGCCACAATAATTCCCTCTACTGAAAGGGAGAAGGCTGGCAAATGGAAGTGGGAGCTGGGAACAATCGCTTCTCATTTGCTCTCTGTGTTTGGGGTTTACATTTTTGTTGCTGATTCATCTCTGGGGATGTCAGGAAGCCCTGTGTGGTGGGGCTTTTAGCTCAGATGGTGTAGTTTTCCAGGCCTTACCATTGCCTCCTGCTCCTGGCTTCCCTCTGCTCCTCCCCCTCAAGGGAGGAGGAAGCCCTCCTTGTCTTCAGCTTCCCTTCCCTGGAGCTACCATCACTCTCCTCCCCCTGGCATCCACTGAACCACATTATGCAGCCCTGGCCATGGCCCCATGCACCAAGGCCTGCTGTGGCTGTCCTGCCTGTGAATCTTCTCTCTCCATCTACATTGTGAACTGCTGGAGGGTGGAGGGCAGGAACCTGGTATTTGGCCCCTCCTCCCTCTCTCCAGGCAATCTTGGTAGACATGAGCACACAGTAGGTGCTCAGGATGGAGTTTCTAGACACCTATGGCTAATCTGACGTTGGGGTGGGGGGGGGCAATGCTGTATTCATTCATCTGGGTCCTAAAGATGGGGAGCTGCAGGGACCCAGGCAGACACCCAGGAGTTCAGAGCCCAAGATGAGAACACCCACACAGCAGTGTGGCTCCCAAGGCCACACAGCTGGGCTCGAGGCATCAGCACCCAGTGATTTTTGCATTCAGCCAGCCCTTCCAGTCTCCCACTGAAAGCAGCAGAGAAAGGGCAGGCCTGCGAAGAACCCACTCTCTAGTTAGAGAGACCAAAGTCATACCAACCGAGGATCCCCAGAACAGCAACGGATGGTTAGTCTTCCAGGCCTGAGGAGTTCCACACGTGAGAAAACAGAACGAACCAAGTTGTGTGGGATAATCTGTATGGGGGGCAGCCGCCTTGAGGAAGGAGGGTCTCTTGTGAAGGCAGGGGCAGAAGGTGGTGGCCGGAGAGCTGGGTGATGGCCTGGCCTGAGGGCTAAGAGGGCAAGAAGCAGCTGGTTCTCCAAGCCTATGTTCAGAACAAGCTGAAAACAGAGCTGCGTTCTGTTTGCCTGAGGTTCTCTAAACGGAGACAGGAGAGCGGAGCACCAGTCAAGGGACTCTGTGGAGGGACTGCTCTGCCCAGACCTGCAGAGGGTAATGAGGGGAGGCTGTAGACAGAGAACCCCACT